GGGGGCGGGGCGGGCCCCGCGGCCCCGGCAGGTACCGCACCTGGCGGCGGGGACCATTCCTCGGCCGGGCGGGACGAGCCACCTCCGCGCCGACACCGGGTGGCGGTCTCCCTGCACCGTGGTACTGGGTGCCCTGGCGTTGGCACCGCGTGGGGGGCGTCCCCCAGCGCCGGGCACGGGCGGGACGGGCCTCCCGGCTCCGGCGATCCGGTGCGCCGCATGTGTATGTGTAGTGCTGAGGCAGGGTCAGCGCCCGAGCTCCCGCAGGGCGACAGAAGGAAGGGGAGTCTTCACCCTCTGCACCGGCAGGCAAGGTCCCCGTGGCTGTCCTGCCACCCCTTCTAGGCACTGATAGAGAAGGCCCTCGGAGCCTCCTGGAAGCAATGGGGCGGGCTTCCCTTGGACCCGGTTACCTACCCCCACTGCATGGCATCTGGAGAACCTGTCCCTGTTGATACTGTCATGACACATGGCTGGCCCTCACGTCCTGGTCACTGGTTTAATCGCTCAGAGTTTCAGCTTTTCCTTGGGGCTGGAGGTGCCTAACTCTGCTACCTTACCTTAATGCTCCGGGAGACCCCAACTCTATTTCTATTGGGTGCTCAGTGTCTCTCCGGACTCCCTTCCCGTCCTTGCTGGGAAAAGGGTGGGAGGCAGAGGTCCGGCACCTGTGTGGCTAGTCAGGCTGCATCTTGCCCTCTCTCTGAGCCAAATGTCACCATCTTGTGCCGTGACAGCTTGGAGCAGGACTCTGGCAAAGCACTGGGGGAGAGTGTGGGGGACTGAGTGTAGACAGTTCATGGCACGTGTGCTGCAGGCCCTGGCGGAAGGTGAGGGAAGGTTCTGCCCCAGCAGTGCGCCACCTGCTCCCTAAGCTTTTTCTTCACTGACCCGGGCCCTTTACTAGTGGCCAAGCAGCTTGCAGCCAATCAGCAAAGGACCCCAGAGCCACCTCAGATTGGACTCTGGCCACTTGGAGTCTGCCCAAGGCCTCCCTCTCTCTTTCCTGCAGTTGCCCAGTCTCTGTGGCATTTGCCCCCCCCCCCCTGCTTTGCCCCCCTCCCCAGGTAGACTTTACCCACCAGTGACATGCGCGGTTTCTTCTGCCCCACAGGCCGGTGTTCCAGCGTGAGCTGGGTCCTCCGCCTGCCTTACTCTAACCAGGGCCCTGCTCTTTGTGCCCGCACGGGGTTCCCAAGCACACATGGAGTTCTGGATCCTCATGCTGACAGATGGAGCTCCGTGGGCTCTTGTGAAGCCACGCAGGCTTCAATGTCACATAAAACAGTGTGGGGGGGAAGCTTCTAGTACCTCTGTTTTGTCACCCACAGCCCTGCAAGAATGAGCAGTTTACACCCAGCTCTGCAGGATGTAGCCTCCGGTGTTCACAGGCTCTGGAGGGGGAGGGAGGGGCTCCGCCAGAGGCTTCCTGTCACTGCCCACGGGCACCCAGTGTTCGCCTGTCTGACCTGTGGCTGGGCCCCTTTCGAAGGGCATGTGCACGTGTGTGTGTGTGTGTGTGTGTGTGTGTGTGTGTAGGGATGAGCCTGGGCACATTCAGGAGGAAGAACAGGAAGTGAGAAAACCAACAGGTACCCTTAGGTAATTCTCTAAAATAAGCAGGATGGTGCCATTTCTCCATTTTTATACATGACAAAAACAGAGAGAGACATGATCTGCCCACAGTCACATAGCAAGAAAGAGACAGGGTTTGAACTCAAGTTGGTCTGATTAGACAATCCGCATCCTTTTCTCCATACCAGGGTTCCAGACAGGACATCACAGTGGCCTAGGGTGCTCGAAGAGAGGTCCCTAGCTCTTAGCGTTGGCAGGTATGACTCGTCAGGGCTCAAGGTGAGGCAGGTCAGTTGCTGAAGCTTCCCAGATGCTTCTGAAGTGCTACCAAGTTGGAGAAGCACAGCGTCTGTCCCCCTGGGATTGGTAAGATGCCCGATGAGAAGAGAATCAGACAGCCCTCTCAA